CAACAATCATTCATCCATCAATCCATCCACCCAACAATCATCCATCCACTCATCCATCCATCTTCCAGCCATCCATTATCATCTAGCCATCCTCCATCCATCCATCCTCCATCCATCCTCCATGCATGCATGCATCCATCCACCCAACAATCATCCATCCATCCATCTTCCATCCATCACCCATCCATCCATCCACCTAACAATCATCCATCCATCACCATCCATCCAGCCATCACCCACCCAGCCATCCACCCAACAATCATCCATCCATCCATCCATCCTCCATCCATCCAATATCTAGCCAGCCATCCATCCATCACCCACACACCCATCACTCATCCAGCCATCCAACACCCATCTATCCACCCATCCAACAATCATCCATCCATCATCCATCATCCATCCCCCATCCCCCATCCATCCATCTGCCCAACAATCATCCATCATTTACCCACCCATCATCCATCTATCCATCCATCACCCACCCAGCTAACCATAATGAGTGATCATTCTTGGTGCCCAGCATCCTCCTGGGCATGGGGACCAGGACCAATAAGCAGCTGGACCAGGCTTGCTTCCCACAGAGCCAGCTCCCCGAGTCCACTGTCACCGGCTCAGGCCTCCCCCCTTCTCCAGAAAGGCCCTCTAACTTGTACCAGTCACAGGGATCAAAAAGCAGGAGAATCACCATTACTAGAACTTTCTATCATCTGTGCAGCGGCAGAAACCTCACCTCCACTTAGAGATGTGGTCAGCGGGGGTTCAGGAGGCCAAGGGACAAACCCAAAGTCCCAGCAGGGAGCCAGGACCCACACCAAACCCCTCTGGACCCCGACTCACCCAGCTCAGCGCTCTGCTGAGGGGTGACGGCCTCCTCACTGTTGGCCTCATTGGCCATTGAACGCGTGATACGGCCTTTCCGTCTCCCCTGGCTGTTGGCAGTTTTGCGGCCTTTGGAGGCCACTGCCTCCTTCTCGTCATTGTCCTCACCAGAAGTGTCATCTGTCTTCTCCCTGGGGGCACAGAGGGGAGACAGGGTGAGACCCATGAGTCTGGGCACCAGGCGCAGGTGGAAGCAGCTTCCTTTGGCTGCCAGCCAGTTCGAGATGATCAGGAGCTAGGACGAAAGGGCAAACTTGGGGCAAGGGCTGGCTGGCAGCGTGGGGCAAGCTTCCTCACTCGGCAGGCTGGTAGCTACCTGCAAGGCTGTTTTATGCACCGACACAAGGAGGCGTGAGCTGGTTGCTGTCACTACTTTCCTTGTCACCTGAGGGCGTGTGGGGCAGTGGCTACTGGCCAGCTGTATCATTCACCAATTGGGGATGCCGGAAGCATTTCCGCGGGACTGCTTCATTTACCCAAGAGGGTAGGGGCTGGCAGCTACCGGCAAGGACATTTTATATGCCAAGCACAGAGCTGCAATCTGAACCCACATTAACCGAGGGGGTGCAATCTCCAAGTCTCCTTTACTCCTCACAGAGGAGGTACCCAGAGAGCTCGACAAACAGTGAGACCTCTGCTTTCAGGATTAGCAAGGGCCCCCCGGGGTCCTCGAGAGGCCTTGAGGTGTTGGGGACCAACACGCCCTCAGTACCCAGCCTGGCTCTCACAGAAGCTGGCCTGGGAGAGTTTATCATGGGGCCACCAGGATTTATCGCTCTGTCTTCCCCATTTATCTTCCGGGAAGGCCAAGCTGGCTTGTCAGGGAGACGGGATCAGACGTTCTGCTGCAGCCGGGGCTCGTCACAGATACCTGGCCCTCCCCCACCCTGAGCCGCCAGCTGGCCAAGCCCCGCCTGCCCACCAACAGTCGGGCGCTGTCAGCCGCAGGTGAGGCCCTGCCTTGACTGCAAGAACCCACACGGAGCCATCATTCTAAAGGTGAGCCCGTCAGCCAGCCGCCCTTGCCAAGGAGGGGTGTGGAGGCAGAGATCTCCCAAGTCACTGCCAGGATTTATTAGCTCAGGAGGAAAGTGCAAATGAGCCATCAGTTCCCGCAGCCTCCAGAGGGTTGAGACAGAGGGGCGGGCGGAGGAGAAGGGCAGGGATGGGCTTCCGGGGACGGACGCGGCAGGAGAGCCTGCCCTCTTGGAGCCCAAGCTGCCACAGGCCGCACACCCTGACAGAGGGTCACCCTGTGCGGCCCCCGACGGGCTGACTGCAGGGCTGCCTTACTTGACAAGCTCCTCCTTCTCGTCCAGGTCGGCCTTGTCCTCCTCCTTCTCCGCCTCCCGCTCCTTCTCCTCCTTCTCCTCCTGGCTGCTCCGGGGCATCTGCTGCTGTTGCTGCTGTTGCTGTTGCTGCTGCTGTTGCTGTTGCTGCTGCTGCCAGGCCCGGGAAGGAAGGGGCGAGAGGGACGAGCATTGAGCCAGGCACCGCTCGGCACCAGGACGCCGGACGGGGGGATCTGCAGGGGCAGCCTGAACAGTCGGGGGCCCAGAGCACTGTGGGGAACAGGGGCCGCAGCCCACGCGGGGCTGGGGAACAGGCGGTAGACAAAGTGCCCGTGTCAACTGCCCAGCCTCCACCCCACCGTCCGCCAGAGTGGCCGTGTGGCTTTGGGGGAAGGTCTCAGCTCCTCTGTGCTCTGCTTTCTTCCGCAGGAAAGGGGATGAGGAGTCTGCCCACAGCTTGGGCAGGGGGTAGGGGGAGCCTACAGCGCAACAAACATGGCGTCCCACCTGGATCCTCGGCGGGGTGGAAGGAAGCAATTGATGTCTGGTGTGTGCGTGGGGGGAAGGCTGCCCCACTAGCCCTGAGCTGGAGCAAGGGGAGTGGAGCCCAGGGCCTGCCCATCCCCATAAAGCTCAGGCTGCCTCTCTGACCCTCAGTCTCCAGATCCATAAAACGGGTAGGTGAGCACCTGTTGGCAGGGGACGCCTACCCTGCCAGTCGGCTGGGCCAGGTCTCCCTGAGGGAAAACAGGCCTGTCTCACAGTCAGTCACGGAGGCTGACAACATTATCAGCCTCCTCACTCCGGCCTCTCCAACGCCTCCTGTCCAAGGCCTGGGCCCCAGACTGGCACATACTGGGGCCCATCAGTTCCCTCCTCAGCACCTGTACCCTTCCAACGGGACAGGCAGGACTGGCGGCCAGCCCCTCACACCACCTCCTGACTTCTCTTCTTTGCTGCCTGGTTTCTTTAAGACTCATGCTCATCTTCTTGGCCACCAAGGTCCTCCCTTCAGGCAGCTGTCGAACCAGAAAATCCTCTCATCTCACTGAGCCAAGGGAAATGAAAGTAAAGCCGGCAGAAGCCTTTCGACGCAGACCGGGCGCAAGTCACACTAATTCCCAAACCAGGGAGATGGAAATCCAAGCAGATGAGAAGGGCGTGCATGCGTGTGCGTGCAGAGCCCCATTTAGGGCTCTGGTTTATTCTAATGACGAGGGGGGGACCCAGGCCAGCGGTCTGTGTACGGTAACTCGGGCTCTGCAAGGCTGTACCATGCCCACCAGAAATGTCCTGGCTGGGTCCTGGCCTCTCTTCTCTAAGACAGCTCTCTGTTCCTCAAGGGGTCACTGGAAGGATGACTACACCGCACCAGCCTTCCCCCACGTTCCCAGCTACCACCCCTCGCATCCCAGCCCCAGCCTGGTCTTCCCTCACGACCGCAAGCCTGCCAACTTTAACGGGTGAGTTTTGACCCTTGGGAACTGGGGCATTAACCTCTGGGCGCACTGTTGCTAGCTGCAGTCATCGACTCTGACGGCAGCCCCGCCCGTGAGTTACAGGGCAGAACTGCCCCACAGGGCCACACCGTTTGGAAGACCACTGGCCGCCTATCTTCTGCGGAGCTGCTGAGTGTGCTTAAATTAGCAACCTTTGGGGGGAGCTGAGAGCAAACCGTTTGCGCCACGCAGGGACCGCGGCAACGGTGACAGCGGCCATCCAAGGGCCACGTGCCGGCTGCGTTCCTGGAACACCGTCTCGCTGTGCTTTGCAGACGCCGTTTTACGCACTAAGGCCTCCGGCAACCCTGCATTGACCGAGTCTATCGGCAGCGTTTTCCCAACTGCACGTGCTCGCTTTGTAGTTCTGCGTCATGTTTAGCTCGTTTACTCAACATTGTACGCTTTTTCCTAACACCGCGGGGCTTAACAGACCACAGCAGAGTGTGAACGTAACTGTCACATGCACTGGGAAGCCAACAAACACACGTGATGTGCTTCACAGCAGTATCTGCTTTGGGGGTGGGGGCAGTCTATAACCAAATCTGCAGTATTTCCAAGGTATGCCTGTCCCTCACACATCCCCTTTACCCACCTCCTATCATCCTTCCATTTTACAGAAAAGGAAACCGAGGCGCAGGATGTTAAGTGCCAGGATTGAAAACCACAGCCCAAGCTCTGTGCCGTACCTGGCCACACCAGCCCCACCCACCCACTGCCCTTGCCAGGCTCTGCC